AAAAGATAACAAAAGACACAAAGGACCAAAACAGAACAAAAAATGGTTCGACAAATCATGTTATGAGGCCAGGAAAGAACTGCGAAATCTTAGATACCTTCTTATGCACAACCCAAAAAATCCGTCCCTAAGAGGAAGTTACTTTAGAAAAAAGAAGGAGTTCAATAAACTCATCCGAAAACGCAAACGAGAATACGAAAATAACTGTCTGATGCGCCTACAAAACCTCCAAGAAAACAACCCCACCGCCTTCTGGAATTTACTCAAAGAACTAAAAAAGACCGAACCAGTATCACAGGAAGATCTACCAGCCGACACCTGGGTCGAGCACTTCAAAAACATTCACAGCAAATCCAGATTAAAACAAGAAAACTTTGATCATAACTTTGAAATTGAAATTTTGCGCAAACTTCAGGCACTCCAAAAATATAAGCCAAGTCCAGGACCCTTGGACCAACCAATCACTACCTCTGAAATTAAAGATGCAATTCACGCCCTCAAAAACAAAAAAGCCAGCGGGGATGACATGGTCACCAATGAAATGCTGAAAGCAGGAAGACATATCCTATTAACCCCTCTCTTAAGACTTTTTAATAGTACCTTCTCATCAGGAATTTTCCCCAAAATGTGGTCGAGAAGTTACATCGTCCCCATCTTCAAAACAGGGCGAAAAGACGACCCAAACAATTATCGTGGAATAGCCATTTCCAGCTGCTTAGGAAAACTTTTCTCCTCGATTTTAAACAAAAGACTTTCAACCTTCCTCGAAGAAAAAGAAATCACAAAACCAAACCAAACCGGATTCCGAAAAAATTATAGGACAGCAGATAACATCTTCATATTAAAAACCCTTATCTCCAAATACACACAGTCGGGAAAACGATTATTCGCATGTTTTGTCGACCTGTCTAAAGCTTTTGACTCCATTTGGCACGAGGGACTTTTATTCAAGCTTCTTTCCAATGACATGTCAGGCAAATTTTTCAATGTAATTAAAAACCTATACAACCAATCTGAGGCCAGTGTTAAAACTAAAGAAGGCCTAACTGAAAGTTTTCCCGTTGAAATTGGTGTTCGCCAAGGATGTGTTTTAAGCCCAACCCTATTCAACCTATACATCAGTAATCTCATAGATAAACTCAACGCAGAAAACCTAGACGCACCCCTACTAGAACATTCCAAAGTTACTAGCCTCTTTTATGCCGATGATATCGTCTTATTATCGGAAAGTGAGCAGGGATTACAGAAAGCAATAAACACCCTTGGACGGTACTGCAAACAATGGAAGTTAACTATCAACCTGGCAAAAACTAAAGTAATGATATTCAACAAAAGAGGCCTCTTATTTTCTAACCTTCGTTTCTCACTAGATGATAAAGAGATAGAGATAGTTCAATCATACTGCTACCTAGGAGTTGTGTTTACAGCAGGATGTACATTTAGCACTGCCATGAAAAATTTACAAAAGAGGGCCCTAAGAGCAATGTTTAACATCAGAAGTACTCTCGGAGAAACCAGATCCTCTGTATCATTACACTGTAAACTGTTTGACACATGTGTTGTACCGATATTACTGTATGGCTCCGAAGTTTGGGGCAGTAACAGTTTGAACGACAAATCGCCATTAGAAACTGTACATCTGAAATTTTGTAAATACATTCTTGGTGTCCGTAGGAACGCCAGTAACTTCGCATGTAGAGCGGAACTAGGACGTTTCCCCTTACAGATAGAGGCCCATTGCCGAATGTACAATTACTATTTTAGACTAGTTAACGAAGTGCTCCCAAGTAGTTTACAATATGAAGCCTATACAGTACAACAAGAGCTAGTTCGCCGAAATATACCCTGCTGGTTATCTGATGTAAAGAAACTGTTAGAGGAGTCCGGTTTTGCCTACCTGTATTTAAACGGTCACTTAAACACACCCTCCCATCTAAAAGAACTAAAACAGAGATTGAAAGATATCCACATCCAAAAGTTCTACTCAGAATTACAAGCAGAAGGACGAAGAGAAAACCAAGGCAACAAATTAAGAACATACAAAACATTTAAACTGAACTATGAAAGAGAAACATATTTAAACATTACAAACTTCGAACATCGAAAAACCATGTGCAAACTTCGTATAAGTGACCATCCCTTACATATAGAATCCGGTAGGCACAACCGTACCCCTCTGAACGATAGGACGTGCGAATTCTGTGATCATCTATATGTAGAAAACGAGTCGCACTTTTTACTTGATTGTAGTTTATATGAAAATGAACGTAAGGTGTTATTTAATGTACTAGATTTAGACAAGAAATATAAGAAACTGTCCAAGCAAAATAGATTTATACATCTTATGTCAAGCAGAAATGAACACATTGTAGAAAAAGTGTGTGATTATATCAATAAGTGTTTCAAGAAGAGAGAAGAAACCAGAACCAAAAAATAGACAAACAGTAACTTTAAGAATTATGTAGTAATTAGAATCCTAGTATAGAACTCAAACATACATTATGTATGTATGCACCACATGTATTTTATACTGTGACAAAGCATGTATGCATTTAGCCCGTCTGGGCAAGGATATGCAATAAAGATCATTTCATATATCAAGTTTCAGGGCCTTTCGCGGGATGACTTGCCATCATCTAAATTAATGTGATTGACCTACAATCTAATGTTACTGTAAATGCATTTGATTTTGCAGTGGTTACGTTTAATATTAGGAGGGAAAAGGACATTTGCGGTGTTTTGAACTCATGTTGGAACAATTCTGTAGACATGAAACGAAGACATATTTACAGTGTGTCGTGAATTTGGGATGGAGACAATCATCATGAAAACTGTGAAAATAAAACCACTGCAAAAATTTCTTGATTTACACAATTACAGTGGACTGTTTTGGTAGAAATTTTTTAGGAATTAGTTTCTGCTTTCTCATTTAAGGGGTCTCTTCATAATTAAAATAGTATTGGACAAAGATAAAGTAAGATACACAGTGATATCCGCAGTTTCATCAGTTTGTTAAATCAACAAAGTTCTCTGTACACACCCTAGCTAGTCCCTAGTTTTTATACTACCTATTGATGTGATGTAACCACCAGCATGTTGTGGTTGCTAAGTTGTGGTTGCTGGGTTGCTCTGTGACTTTGAATACCACATGAAATATGGTCATGTGATTTAATGTGCTACTGGTCTCCAAAAGGGTCATTCATAGGGCAGAGTCCAGAAGGTTCCACATGTTTCAATGAATCATTGAATGTAAGTTTTGTGGCGCAAAATTTTCTCTGTTTAAAGGATTATTTCTTATTTATCAAAATGTATTTTGTAAGACTTGAAGATTTTGTCTTTTCTGTGATTAAAATAGTGCTGTAACTCAATCATTCAATGAAAGAAATATTGGTGTCAAAATCATGATTACAATTGTGCTTTATACCTTTTTATCTATTGTAAGATCTAGACTACTTAGTGATATACTACTGAGAAACATATGATATCATAAGTGTTTGTGTGATGATTATTCAGTTTGAAGGTCTGTAGCTATAAGCTAATGGTTGTGGTTATCATGAATAATAGATAAACTGCTTCCGTTAAAATTGTAACGACCACACTTGTTAATCAGACCCACACCTGTGTAGGGTGGTGCCCCTTCTCATGGACTTTTGACTTATTTATTCTGCACGTGACACGTACTAAGTACTGAATACTCAGTCACTCCTACTTGACATATGGATGAAGGACTTGCTTCATTCCACTAGTAATTCATCTGTGTGATAACTGCTACTTCTTGACTCCAAAATAGAGGTAATGCTAGAATTGCAGTAATGTGAAAGTTTATTTTGTTTCTTCCTGACATGTGTAGGTTTCCCTTGCTGACAACAATGCTACCATCCAATATGACCCAACAAAGACCTCTCCGTCTAAACTTTGCGATGTCATCGATGACATGGGATTCGAAGCCTCCCTGCCTCGCAGCACTTCTGAAACAGTCTTCGGAATCGAGGGCATGACCTGCAACTCCTGCGTACAAACCATCGAGGGCATGATCTCTAAAATGGATGGTGTCGAGTCCATCCAGGTTTCCCTGGCCCAGAAGCAGGGGAGGGTGATGTACGATCCCAGTAAGACCAACCCAGCGGCAATACGAGAAGCGGTTGACGATATGGGTTTTGATGCCTTCGTGCTAGACCGGGCCCAAGGGGAGCAAAAGGTCAAGATCAAGGTTGAAGGCATGACGTGTAACTCATGTGTGGAGAGCATTGAGAAGGTCATGTCTTCAGTAGAGGGGGTGAAGACGATCAAAGTATCCCTGGAGAATAAGGAGGCTGTGATAGACTTCGATCCACAGCAGACGGATCCTGACGTGTTGGCGGAGGGTATCGACAATATGGGCTTTGACGCTTCGACTGGAAAACGAGCAGATGTCACCACAAAAAACGTCCACCACTATACAACCACCACGGGGCAAACAATCTACTAGCTTTACAGCAGTGAACATGAACTCTGACCCGTGGGTGAGGATGGAACAGGACAGTCAAAGCTTACAGCCAGCGACACTTTCCACGGCGTCTACCGTTACAATCGGAGTGGAGGGCATGCACTGCAAGTCGTGCGTGCGTAAGATCGAGGATGCCATGGCCACCCACGCAGGTCTACACTCCATAAAGGTTTCTCTGGAGAACAAGAATGCTGCGGTGAGCTACGACGCCAGCCAGACCACTCCCGAAAGCCTCGCGAGCAGCATAGCATCTGAGGGTTTCACATGCTTTCTCCCGGGGTCTTCTCAGCCAATCACAAAGCAAACACAGCCTCCGTCCAGCGAACAGACCGTCGTTATTGGTATCCAGGGGATGACTTGTAACTCCTGCGTACAGAACATAGAGGGCAGGATGGCCAGCTTTAGAGGAGTCAAGTCCATCAGAGTGTCCTTGGGAAATGCCAATGGCACTATCGTGTATGAACCCTTGAAAGTGAGTGCTGAAGAGCTGAGGGAAGCCATAGATGACATGGGGTTTGAAGCATCTCTTCCAGGTAAGCAGCAACAACATTTGGTGAATTATTGGTGCATATCTATATAACATATTAATGAAAATTGCTAGGGGGCCAAACCTACACCAATTTTCATGTGGCTAAGAGTTATAATTAGCTCTTGAAAATCCTTGTCCTAGCATGCCCAGGAGGTTCAAAATTTTATCTCTTTGATACATCAATACCTACCCATTTACCAAGTCTCATGTCAATCCACCCTTGGCTTCTTGAGTTATCCACAAACATTGAATTTGTTCCAAACATCCAAACAAATGCTCCCAAAAACATACCGGTCTAGGTGAATGCGAAAATCTGATGTTTCAGCTTGTAAATAGTGATTCCTGTCTTCCCTCTTTAGGCCAGTCAGCTCCAACCCCACTGGCAAAGCCTGGTGCCAGTTCCAACCAGAAAGACTTCACGGTGCACTTCAGGAAAGGAGCCGTGGTGAAAACAGAGCTGGGTCTGGAGGAGGTGGAGCTGGGAACGGCAGAAGAACCCACTGGAACAGCTGATCAGATGGACAAGTGTTTTGTCGAGGTGACAGGGATGACATGTGCCTCATGTGTCTCCACCATCGAGAGGAATTTGGGAAAGGAAACAGGTAAGAGCCTCTACATAATACTTCATTTAGCTCTCATGTTATTAAAAAGATATTGGATTTGAAGTTCTTCTTTGGCATTGATGTATGTTTGACATCCAACGTTAAGATTACATAATCCTTAGGTATTATAAAAGCTATCTTCCCCATACTGCACACACATAGCTTACACATCAGCCCTTCTTTCTGTAAAACACAACTTCTCTATCTGTTATTCATTCTTCCTTCTCGCTGTGTCTTTCTCTGTCTTCTGTCTTATTCAATAATGCCTGGAAGAAACAGAGTCTGACGGAGTCTGTGAGAAAGCTGGATCTCGAGTAAGATCCAAACCCACGGAGGCCTCCCAAAACTGTGTCCTGGGAGTCACTGGCATGACCTGTGCTTCTTGTGTTGACCACATAGAGAGGCATGTCGCCAAGAACCCAGGTCTACAACTGTTTCTTCCTACACTCTTGCATTTATTCCCTGTATACACATATGTAAAACTATGACTATATCATTATGTGAGGAGATTTGAATGCAGAAGAAAGGCAGGAAGGGTGATTATTTAAACACAGATTGACCCTTAGGTCAAGTTGGCAGTCTGAATTAGAGATAATTAGCTGAATGTCTCCCATAACATCTGCATGGATCTTCATTATTGAACCTGCAATGTGTATCAACATCTATATCCTGACTGAAGTCAGCCTAATGGTATAATGGTACATAACATGATTTGACTGAAGATGTAGACTAAGTGATAGGTAGTGATAGATAATGATTTATAGTGATATAAATAAATCGATCAAACATATTCATTTTTGTTTTGTATTAAGTAGAAAGAAAGGAACACACGTGAATAATAATATGTGTATTGCATTATTAGGGAAGTCTTACCTTTTGCATATGTTCCTTTTCCTTGGTTTAGGGGTAAAATCCGTGCTTGTGTCGTTGATGGCGGGAAAGGCGGAGGTGAAGTACGACCCTTGCTACATGACGCCCAGCGAGATCGCCAAGAAAATTGCTGACCTTGGATTTGGCGCTACCATCATCGAGTCTCAAGGGATTGGAGAAGGCCGAGTGCAGCTTGCAGTAAGAGGCCTTTCCTGATGCTCAAATCTAGATCTATAGCTCTTGTTAATTTGATTTTACATACTGTCTGATTTTAGAGGCAAAGATAATTAAATTCTTGTGATCATCAGACATCAGTTATAAACGAATTTCCTTAAAAAAGTTGTGCTCTTTCCACAGTGCATGGCCTGGGCTAATCCTTTTTCATGATGCTTAATATAGATTTATAGCTCTTCTTGATTAGATAATACATGTAGAACACTTTGACAGTTTTAAGGAGCAAAGCTAATCAAATACTTGTGATCATCAGACATCAATTATAAAGCACTTTCCTATCAAAAGTTGTACCCCTTCCACAATGCATGGCCAACAACACTGGGATAACTGTTTCATATTATAGATAAATCCATATTAAGCAACACTACAATCATCTACATGTATAGTTCAAGCCAATTCTTTTGCAAGCCATGTGAAAATTTACTACTGTACAAGTGTTACTCTTAATAGTCAAAGTTGCATGGTGTGCATTTCTTTCTTTGCAGATTTCTTTTCACTTCATACAGAGTTGGCAGTCAAAACTTTTTGCTGATTTCTGATAACAAAGATTGACGATAAGGTCAAGTTGACAGTCTAAACTGTTCCTAAACTACATTTTCCTGCCCCAGATTACAGGCATGACCTGCTCCTCCTGTGTCCACACCATCGAGTCCAACATGAAGAGAAAACCAGGGATTCTGGAGGTTTCTGTTGCCTTGGCAACAGAGAGAGGCCAGTTTGTGTTTGACCCAGAGGTCACCGGACCAAGGCATATCATAGAAATGATCAAGGTGCAGTTTTGACTTTAAATTTGTTCATACTTGAACTTTTTAGATTTCAGTTTACAATTACAGTAGTTCTGCCAGTCATTTTGCATACAGAGTCAATCAGACTTTTACATTTGTTTAAACCTTAGTAATGCCATTTGAAGCTATGTTTCAATGACAATTCAAGTCTATTGAGTGTCAATGCATGAAAAGCAAGTTATCTTTGAGTTATTTCAGCAGTGTTTGTGTCATCTTTATTTTACCATTTTAGGAGATGGGTTTTGATGCCAGTCTGACAACAGAAGAGAAAAAGGGAAGCTTGGACCACAAGGCATCCATTCAGAAGTAAGTTCTGTACACTGACCTTGATAATATGTCATGTACATTCATCTGGTAGTAATTTGCAGATTTTTTGGCAATGCCTCTGGGGCGGAGGCACTTGTATTGGACATATTCACCTTGTACTGACCAGCCTTTCTCAATGGTTTTCTGTAGGTGGCGTACAGCATTTCTGTTTTCCTTCATCTTTGGCCTGCCTGTGATGATCATCATGATCTACTACATGGCCACTGGGCACAGCCGGAAGCCACTCTTCCGGGGTGTGTCTCTGGAAAACCTGCTGTTCCTCATCCTGTCCACACCAGTCCAGGTAATACTCAATACATTGCTAAAAAAAGATAAAGGTAGTCCCAAAGCTTTTTTGAGCCAGTAGGGGCAATGGGTTAATCCACTGTGTCGAGGGCACAGTATTGGAAGGCCCATCCCTCTCCTTCCAGTACATTTTACCTCCCCAACTGAAGTCAGGTCAGGTACCCATTTTACACAAGGAAAAGACAATCAAGAACAAGACAATCCTCAAGCTAAACATAGCCTCACATTTGTCCCTTAGATATTCTGAGGCAATCCTCAAGCTAAACATAGCCTCTTATTTGTCCCTTAGATATTCAGAGTCGATTCTAAAGTGAAACATACACTGTAACTTCTTATTTGTCCCTTAGATATTCTGAGGCAATCCTCAAGCTAAACATAGCCTCTCATTTGTCCCTTAGATATTCAGAGTTGATTCTAAAGTGAAACATACACTGTAACTTCTTATTTGTCCCTTAGATATTCTGAGGCAGTCACTTCTACGTCACCGCCTACAAAGCCCTGAAACACAAGTCCACCAACATGGACGTCCTCATCATGCTGTCCACGACCATCGCGTATGTCTACTCTGTCATCGTGCTCATCATCGCGGTGATAGAGAGCCCGGCGCTCAGCCCAAAAACGTTCTTCGACGTCCCGCCGATGCTTCTCACATTCATTTCCCTGGGGAGGTGGTTGGAACACATTGCAAAGGTGAGGGAGAAATGATTATTATGTTTACCTTTAATTCACAGAAGGAAAACATTAGATATTGTTTTATTTGTTTCTTCCTTTTCTTCTCCTTCTGTTCCAAACGAGTAAATGAAGTTAATGACCTGGACTTGTTCAGAAGCCCTGAAGTCTGAAATCTCATATCTCTTGTTTGTTGCTGTCCAGGGGAAGACATCAGAAGCCCTGGCCAAACTCATGTCTCTCCAGGCTACTGAGGCCACCCTGGTGGAACTGGGCAAGGATGGATCTGTTGTCAGGTACACTTTTTCTCTAATACTTATCTAATATGTACTACATATGTATGTATGTATGTATGTATGTACATGTAATATATTTATGTATGTACATAGTATATACCATATATACAAAATTCAACCCTGTATTATGTACTATGTACAACCATAAATATGTAAAAATCACCAACATTGCCTGCACCATTGGAGATATTCAGAAAGAAGTATTTTTTGAGCCTGTCTATAACTTCACCATACATGCGTGTGTATCCACAGTGAGCAGCAGATTGATGTTGAGCTGGTCCAGCGTGGGGACATGTTGCGGGTCGGGCCGGGCGCAAAGGTCCCCGTAGACGGAGAGGTCTTCGACGGAACGTCCACCGCAGACGAGTCACTCATCACGGGAGAGTCCATGCCTGTACCCAAAAAGCCCGGTATGGAACAACGAGAAGAAGAAAAAATGCAGCCTTTTTTCTCTTTTTTAATTGAGTTTTATAGGTTCAGTGCAAAGTGAACCAGCCATAGTTTGACATATTGATAGAGAAAACAGACGGTCATGGAAACATCAACTCTTGTAAACAAGAGGTTGTGAAGAAAAAACTCTGCTATTCAGTATCGGTTTCCAAGAGCCAATGCTTTGTTGACAATCTGTCATCTTTATCAGGACAATTATGACTGGTTCACTGTGAACTGGCTCTTGCAAACAAGTGATTGTGAATAAAGAACTTTGCTATTCACCAACCTGATGAAATTGTTCACGGATACATTCTTCATTTTTTTAGTCTGCATCTGGTCTTAAGAGAGAGAACTGAACAAATCAAATCGGTGTCGTCTAATTTTTTAAAAAGTGGCCACAGAAGACTCACCGCCCAGCTTTGATTGACAGGGAGTAAAGTGATTGGCGGGACCATTAACCAGCACGGCTCGCTGCTGATCGAGGCCACACACGTGGGAGCTGACACCACCCTGGCACAGATCGTCAAACTGGTGGAGGAGGCTCAGACATCCAAGGTACGGGGGAAAAATGCTGAAACAGGACAAGGGTGGTTGTGGGCAAATACATGTGATTTGGGGTGGATGACCAACCTTTTCCTCTGTGTTTAAGACAGACTACTTTCATTGTATGGATGGTACCCTCTGGGCACCCCAAAACTTATTCAGGTGTGCAAAAAAAACAAAGTTGTGAAAAAGAATCTAACTGGTCAGAAAGGTTGACAAATGACTGAACACACAGAGCATGGTATACCAGACAATAATTTCTTCTTTACTTTTGTTCTAACACACCTTCTTTGACTTTGGAAGACTTAGTGGTGCAAGCATACAGTTATAATTCTAGCCTTACTTCCATTCCTCTGGTATACAGAGATTTACAGATGTTTTTCTCCATGTTTCCCCCAGGCGCCCATCCAGCGGTTTGCAGACAAGTTGTCGGGGTACTTTGTCCCCACCATCTGTGCCATCTCTCTCATCACACTGTTTGTGTGGATAGGCATCGGCATGGGAGACCCAGAACTGGTCGACCCCAACTTTGCCGTGAGTTCTCTTAGTTACTTCCAGGGCAGAAGAATTTTTTTCATCTCTTAAATTCTTGTTTGTAATACAGTCAAACCTGTCCAAGCAGGCACTTGTGGTGGAGCTAAAATTCCATGATGAAATTTGCTCTTTTGTCTTTGTGTGTGCTCTTTTATTCTGTGACCTTTGCAAGGAACAAATTGAATCAGTCTGTGGGAATGCTGAAATCTCTGACTTCCTGTTACAGAATGAGAGACATGACATCATTAGTGAAGCAGAAATTGCAGTGCAGTTTGCATTCAGGTAAGAATAATGATATTTATATATAATATACATCTTTGTGGAAACTTTTTTTTACATGTTTACTTTTGTAGGTACACATGTACTTATATAGATCATTATGATGACAAGTTTTGCCCACTGTGTCCATAGGTGTGCCATCACAGTGTTGAGTATAGCCTGCCCCTGCGCTCTAGGCCTGGCCACCCCGACAGCAGTGATGGTGGGGACTGGGGTGGGCGCCCAGAATGGCATCCTCATCAAGGGAGGGGAACCTCTGGAGTTTGCTCACAAAGTAAGCCTCTATTTCTGACCAGAATGGCAGCAAAACGTACTGTACGGTCTGCACCTGTGCAAATCCTGGATTTTTCATTGTCTTTGTTGTGTTGTTTGCCAACATTGCGTCCAAATTTTACCCGTTGCAGATGATATATTTTCCAATCCAACATTTGAAAAATATGGACAGTACCAGTAGAAGTAGAAATGATACGAATGATTCCCATTTTATGTAGAAATATAACTCAGCTCCCTTTTGTTAGGTGAAGACTGTTATCTTTGACAAGACCGGCACCATCACCCATGGTGTTCCTCGGGTCATGCGAACTGCCCTGTTTGTGGAGCCTGCCGTCTGCACACTCCGCCTCCTACTGGCCATTGTCGGCACTGCAGAGCAGAGCAGCGAGCACCCCATTGCATCTGCCATTGTCAAGCATGTCAAAGAGGTAAGAAAATCATACATACTGGTATCATCACTGACTTCATTGTTACCTCCATTAGAAATGGAGGTATTGTTTTCTCTGTGTGTGTGTGTGTGTGTGTTTGTCTGTGTGTGTGTTTCTGCATATTTTTGATCAGCATAACTAGCATAGCAGCCCTGCATGGATTGTGATATTTAGTGTGCAGGTAGGTCATGGGAAGCCAAAGGTCAACGTCAATTATGGGCCTCCTAGGGGCTGTCCTTGGTACTGCAGCAGAGCCTCCAGTTTTTGTATCTTTTTTCCTGAACGTATGAGGTCTCTGAACTCTTGTTTGCTGAATTTTTGGTGGCATGCAAGATAAATGGAATCTAACATGTCTATGTTGTACTGACACGTGGCTGTGTTACCTGTACCAGATGCTGTGTGTGGAGTCCCTGGGGAAGGCGTCTGACTTCCAGGCGGTGCCGGGCTGCGGGCTGCGTTGCACCGTGTCCGCCATCGAGGCCGTTCTGCAGGCCAGCAGCCAATCTGTGGACAGCAGTCGCCATAGTAACCTGGTCAACGCGGACGGTCGACAGACCGCTGCCGAGGACTCACCCGCCATCATAGAGCCACCTGTGGCTGTTGGTGAGATGACAGCCCCTTTTTCAAGAACAGCTCATTTGCATGTAGCGTCAATCATTACCATAATAAGGTCAAGGGGGAGGGGCATAGACAAACAGGAATGTCAACTGGTTTGACATTAGGACTGAATGTTACAGCTTGAATTTAATCAGGCATTTCCCCTTGCTCATACAATACAGTTCCAATACAGTCACAAAAATTCAAAACACTTTCCAGAAGTCTGAAATCTCTGATTTCTTCCTTTATTTGATGATGATGAGCCTGGTTGTACCCTTGCAGAGCCCCTTGGAGCGATGGCTGCGCAGGAGTTCCGTATCCTGGTGGGGAACAGGGAGTGGATGCAGCGTAACGGCATCAACGTCAGGGACGAGGTGGACGAGACCATGAGGGAACACGAGGAGAAGGGACAGACTGCTGTCCTCATCGCTATTGATGGTGAGTGGGACACCATTGCTGATTCTCTCCCCCTTCTTTCCCTCTCTCTATCTCTCTCTCAATGTTTTTGTTGCATACATGGTCAATGTCGATTAAGTTCAACTCTCTTTGTTGTGAAAGGATGGATTTAAACTTGAATCTCCCCCTCCCTCAGGTACACTAGTGGGAATGATAGCTGTAGCAGACACTGTGAAGTCGGAAGCAGCACTGGCTGTGTACACGCTGAAGAGAATGGGACTGGACGTGTACCTACTGACAGGGGACAACAAGAGGACGGCCAGGGCCATTGCTAAACAAGTTAGTAAACTCTCTCCATTATTACACAAGTTAAGCTGAAGTCCTTTTTGCACCATGTGGTGCATAGGGCGCCGTCCAATAGCCCTTTGGCCACACAGTAGTGCAATCACTACAGCAGGGGGCTAGTCCATCGGTTGGGGTCCTGCCATACTCTTTTCCAATGCTGAGTGCTAAGCAGAAAAAGCAGCATGTACCATTTTTAAAGTCTTGTGTATGATTCGACCAGGGATCGAACTCACAACCTACCGAATGCAAGGTGAACACTCTAATCACTTGACATCCAGGTAATGAAATTACATGTACCTGGAAAAAGCTGAAATTGATAAATAAAAAAAGACTAGACTGTTGCTAACTGGTTGGTCCTGTTCCAGGTGGGTATCACCCAGGTGTTTGCGGAGGTTCTGCCGTCCCACAAGGTGGCTAAGATCCAGCAGGTTCAGGCGCAGAACCGTGTGGTGGCGATGGTGGGAGACGGCGTGAACGACTCGCCGGCACTGGCTCAGGCGGACGTCGGGATCGCCATCGGCACGGGGACGGACGTCGCGGTGGAGGCCGCAGATGTGGTGCTGATCAGGGTGAGTCTCCTTCACATTCCAGAAGTTTTACTTTTGTATTGAGAAATAGAACTGTAAAAGTTCTATATACCACAGAAGCTTTTAAAAATAGACTGAAATAGGACTTTGTAACTAGCTTTATTTGTTTCCAGCCTTAATGTCAATGTAACTAATTTGTTGTATTTCTTGTGTATAACACTTTTATGTACCCAGGGACACCTGAAAAACATGTCAAGGACCTCAGTGTGATCTGATTTTAAAATATATTAATGAAATAAAAAAAGTCAATATATTTTTTTACTGTTATGCCTTAGTTTGTAAGTTAGTGTTAGTTAGCCAACAAGTGTTGCACTGTCATATGTTGTAGTTCAACATAGCTTTGGTAAAGGTGCACTAACACTGCCCCCCCTCCCCCATATTCTCAGAATGACCTGCTGGATGTGGTGGCTGCCATGGACCTGTCCCGTCACACAGTTAGGCGGATTCGACTCAACTTTGTCTTCGCTCTCATCTACAACATGATTGGAGTTCCCATAGCTGCAGGTGTGTACCAGAAAGGATTGAGGTGTTCAAAAACTCATTCTTTCCTAAGAATTATTGCAGAGTGGAACTTGCTGTTACCAAGTACAGAAAGGGAATTATCATTAGATAGCCTTAAACAATGTGTAGAGTTAGATGTTCAGAGGTTAGGTGTAACAAGTCGGTCAGTGTAATGTAGCCTGCTGCCACCACACTGTGTGCCTGTGAAGCTGGTGTGTTACACCAAAGGGTGGTTATATCGGCTACAGATATAGAAAAACAAATGCTATGAAAAAGACATTTATGTACATATCAATCTCATTCTGGAAATGGTCCAAATTTCATGCCCAAGCATCTAGTGAGTAGCAGTGGTCTGCTCATTGTCAGTTTCCACAATAGCATATTATTCAAGTGTTTCCACTAGAGTAATGATTCATGTTTGACATTTTCTACAGACGTGTTGCCATCTGTGTATTTCAGGAGTTTTCCTGCCTGTTGGGTTTGTGTTGATGCCTTGGATGGCCTCCGCCGCCATGGCTGCATCTTCCGTATCTGTGGTAACATCCTCCCTCTTCCTCAAGTTGTAAGTACAATATTTCATTACAATAAAATTTTAAAATTCCAACAGTCTAAATCCAGTCTTTCTTGCATTCTGGACTAAAACAGCTAAATTACTCATAACAGACTCAGCCATCGTTTATTAACATTGTATCTGTTTCAGAGTTTTGTCATTTCCATATACCATCCTCTAATTTATCTGAGAATCATTCCATTAATCTTGTGCAGTTTAGTATTACAATGTATGTTAAGTTTTGAAGAGGAGGGTTTTCAGACTTCTTCTCTCCTCCTGGACTCCATTTTGTTTATACATTCCATTACTTCACTGTTGATGTTTTTGTACCAATGAATGAATAAAAGAATGAAACATTATAAGGTACAGGAAGCCCAGTGAGCACAGCTTGCGATCCATGTACCTGGAGGACGTGCGCAACTTCCGAACCTACCAGCAGATCACGCGTCCGAGGAGCGTAGAACGCTTGACAGACTGTGACGTACAGGTGACGGAAACGACAGAAACGACAGATCTGATCTCTCGTGAACCAGAGATCCAGACGATCGTGCTAAAGGACGAGATAGGCGACTATATGTACCGACGACTGACCCCGTACTACACAGTGACGAGGGTGTAACTTTTGACTGGTACAGTATGACAGACTGACAAGGACTGAGGACTTGATTAGTACTGTAGTGACTTCAGGTAGTAGTACATGTAGTACGTCCTTCCATCTCGACAGATGATCATAGTACTCTAGATCAGGTGTTGTGGCATACTGTAAATTTGCAGAAACTTTTGCAGATTTTATTTCACAGTGCATTTGAAACAATTCTATTGGACTTACAAAAACCTGTTAGTTTGTTCATTTGAATTTATCATATGTTACAACGGAGGTTTGAGGCAAAACAGGTGATTACAAGTTGTCTCCGAAGAAAGTGATTTGATTTTGTGTTATGAGAAAATAAAACTGCAGCAAAAGTTTCTGCATTTACAATAGTATTTAGCTAAGGACTGTGGTCTCAGTGTGACGACTCACTTGACATGGCTGTGGAATGGTAGGACTTTTTGGGAGGAACCATTGGGCCACGTGCCTGTAAAGCTGATATGTTATACCGTAGGCTGGTTATATCAGCTATGCAGATACAGACACAGAAGCTGGTCTGTAATGCTGAAGGCTGGTTATACCCCATACAGAGAATGAAGCTGGTGTGTTACGCCGAAGGGCGGTAATATTGGCTATGCAGAACCAGAAGCTGGTGTGTTATGCCAAAGGCTAGTTATACCGGCTATACAGATCTGATACAGAATTCTAATTTCAAACTCTGGCCCCTTTTTCCCCAGCTGGCGCAAGACAGATCCCAACACGTTGGAACGGCCGGTGATGTTCAACAGCGACGTTTTCGTGACAGTCGGATCAGAAGAACCCGTCGTGGAGTCACCGCGGGAAACCATGCTGGGCTCCATCAAGAGAAACATCAGCCAGATCTCGCTGGATCGCCGGAGTACCGGATCTGGCGGATCTAACAGAACCCAAAATCTGGATCGCAAAAGTTTGTTAGAAGGGGAAGAAGATGAGGGTGATTATGGCGACTCTTACATATGATAGGAATTCTGGCAACATTTATGTTTACCTTAATTCTGGCAATATTTATGTTTACCTTTGCAGAAGGAAAGCATATTGTTTTTGCTCTGTTTGTCAATGACAAATAAAGTCAATAACCTGGACCAGACAGATGTAACTAGTGCTGTAGCAGACACCCTGTGGTATTGGGTTACATTATGTAGCAAGTGGCAGGACAGAGTTGGAGTGGCTGGTCACTATATACATATATTTGTGTATGAGTAAGAATAAACAGAGCAGTAGTGTGTTAGGCTAGACCATGTGAAGGTAAACATTGTGCATTTGTTTTGCAAATATTGTTACATTTCTAGTCATAATTTTATCTGCAGTCAGAGCTATACATAATGTATACCACTTTTGAATCATAATTACACCATTTATTTAGAATGGGTGTCTGAATACTAATGATTGCTATAGAGTATGTAAAAGTGCAACTTATTGATGTGACAATCTTGATTTCATTGTAAAATGATTTATGTTAATAAAGGGAACAATGTGAAAGAATGTGGAGACAAGATGTATATGTTTAAAACAGGGGACTTTCATTCTTTTTACAAAAAAAGTCCAGTATATTTTGTAAAATAAATGCTAGTAGTCTAATGATGGTGTGAAACAAGATTTCTGAAACAAATTAGTCCTTTGAGAGAGAAAAAAATATATATTTGCAAAAGGTTAAGAAAAAGAGGCACAGAGAAGCACATGTAATTTGTGTAGTACTAGTGTAGAAAGATATGGGATATACACGTATTACACACTAACTCATGTTTGTGGTAGAGTTATTATATATCCTGCTTTGTATAATTTGTATAATCCACGTAAAAACTACCACCGTCAATGCATTTAAATGACCATTGAAAACATCCTAATTGTATATTATTACGTAGTATTGTCTAGTTACCAGGGCTACATTGTAGCCCTTTATAATAGCCCCTGGCTAGTTGGACAGTCCTGGATGTATGTCATTTTATGCAGCCTAATAAATCAAACCAGATCCATACAGGGTACTGTATGTGTACTTTTATTATTGTCTTGAGTTAGGAGTAAGGCCCCCTCACACATGCTACCATAAACTAAATTATGAGAATGTAATACTAGAAGTATTCTTGTACATGTGTAGTATGATAGAGGCAGCATGTTTGTTCCACCAGAGATGACTTCAATACATCATCATTACCCAGGTTGGGCCAACTGTAGATCTAATGCAGTGAAGACCTTTTCTTGATATGTTTATGCTTTTGTTAATATAAGTCAACATGGTCGTTTGAATGCTTGTCCCTTGACAAAAATTAAGCAGGAAACCCGTGTCAGTGACATAAAGTGATCAGTGGTCGAACCGGTTTATCCTGTATTTGCCAGTCCTATGACATACATTGTGTGTATTTAGCAGTGCGTTAAACCTGGCAAGAACGATCAAACTCTCAGAAATAGATGTGCAGGTCTTAAGGGTAGTCTATCTTTATTGACAGTATTTTCATGTACACTTGAAGTGCATCTGAGAGTTTGCTGTTGATGGTAAGGCCTTGGTCTGGCGATCCCCGGACTGAAGGAGGAGAGAAGCATTAGGACGTTGTTAACGAGGCAGTCAACAGTTGAGGTGAGTCTGCTGCGTTGGTCAGAATACTACAAATTATAGGGGACAGTGTAGCAGGTCGCGCTGGACTGTTTCAGAAGAAGCTCCACAGACATTGTTTTGTTCTTGATTTTCATCTTGTGCAGCGTACTAGTCAGTTGACACCAGCCCACGCGTAGTCTGATAGTGTGTATGTTGTTCGGTCTAAAGTGGAGTTTGCATGCACGGTATGGGATCCGTATACAGCAAAGGACACAAGTAAGATAGAAGCCGTGCAGAGGAGAGCGGCTAGATGGACTGCCAATCGACGCAGACAGACATCGAGTGTCGACTCCATGCTCCAAGATCTAGAGTGGCCGACCCTCAGAGACCGCAGAAGGAGAGCCAGGCTCACTGCATTTTATAAGTTTCACACTGGCAGTCTTATCATAAATACCAGGTCAAGGCCGGTGCTTGCGCAGACAAGAAGCACAAGACAGACCCACCCAGCAACCTACAGGGTTCCTTCCTGCCGGACAGAGTATAGACAACAGTCCTTCTTTCCAAGGACGATCCGGGATTGGAACTGTTTGCCTTCAGAGGTTATCCTCTCCCCCACTCTGGACAGCTTCAAAGCCAAAATCCTGACTCTGCCCTTACCTTCTCACTGAGCACAAAACATGAGACAACTTGCATCACCCCTTACAAGTTACAGACTACATGAACACCCACTCCCAGCATGCAGTTTCAACTATAGGCGACAGAATATTCAAAAACGTTGAAGGCGGTCGCCTCACCCGAAAGAAGAAAGCCGAGAGTACGGTACTCTCCAACAGAGGCTTATTTTCTATGTGCTTTTATCGGGCTTTTTATTTTATTTTATTTTTTTTCATTTTTATTCTGGTATCCTTTTTTGGCGTATTAGATACTGCCTTGCCAATTTGACACGTTCCTGCCAATTTGATACTGTATAGCAGCCACCAAAAGATCTGCTCGGGCCTGCTGGCCCCTCCCCTCTACTAGCAAATAATCGCCAGTGCAGTTACGTTGTCTGTACCAGGTTGTTTTGAGGAGTCTGATTGGTGGGTTTTAATTTGTCTGTGGCTTCTATACAAGTCACTGAGAAGGGAAAGTCCTGAGGGGAGCCTGGTGCAGCGAGCATGATTATTTGTCATCTGTATAAAGACGGTAAGTTCGTGATTTCTTTCCATACTTATTTAAGCAAGCACTGATTAAAATCTCCAAGCAGATGTTGCGAAGATCATTTTTTCTGAGTGACGGCCGGGCTTCTCTGACACCACGATTTTTCACCCAAACATCTGCTTGGAGTCCCTGTCCTATAAAAGTAATACATGTATGTGCATATATTTCTTCAGTTCGAATGTAAATTTGTAGTTTGTAATATAATGCAAACACATGTATGTTTTAGAATAGATCAACATAACGTTTCAGGTTGAACGTAACATTTCAAGTTGAGTAAAAGTCGCATTCCGAAGGACTGTGTCTACTTGTCTAATCACTGTTTGCCACGATTTAACTTTGGCCATCCCTTTTAGTACAAAGGATGGTTGTCTACGAAGAAAGTGTTTTAGAATCCCGTACAATTATTTATTGGTGCTTACTACAGTGGCCAAAAACAATATTCTAGTGTAATGAAAGAAGCCTATCCCCGTTACATTACGAAGAGATGTGTGAATTCTATTATATTTAAAAGATGGTGTAACACGCAGGTCTCACAATACTGTATAGTATAACAGTAACATATAGTTTCTTGTTTCAGGAATCAATTCTTCGACAAGAGTCGTCACCTATCTCGTACAAGTACGCGTATAGGACGACCCACTTTCCTGACTTGAACTATACATACTAGTAACTGTTCCCGTCCGGCACGCATACTGAAAGGACATCTCCACCGTTTTGTGTCGCCTGAAAGACTTACGACGGCAATACAAGTATGGAGACTAGAAGAAAGGCAGTAAACGCTACCCAGGCTCCAAAGACGAATTTTCTGAAAAAGACGGGAACACTGCTGGTTATTTTATTGATCCTGACTGTGCTGTGTTCGTACATAGCGTATACCGGATTTGACGTTTCCAGTGTACAGTTCGTTTCCCCACATCGTCACGCTTACGGAAAGAAAGGCAAAGACCTGCGCCATCACCCGGGACTAGAAAACGCACCCATGATCCAGCGTTCAGCACTCCCCAGGAGCAGTCACCTCATTTCTGCTGACGACAATCCCTTGTCACAGTACTACACCGTCTGGAACGAAGAAACACCACAGTCAGCGCTGAAGCCACAAGGAGGGAAGAAAAAGATTCTTGTACTGGAATCCGTGGCCCCCGATATCGATGCCGAGACAAGCCTGCCCCTCCATGCCCCAGTGTGAATTCACCAAGGATCGCGGAGAGGTGGGGGAGGCAGACGCCGTCATCTTCTGGTTCCGGACCATGCCGCCAGTCTACGACAGGTCCTACTTCCCCCGATCTCGGCCGGCCCGGCAGCACTGGATCATGCGCACGCCTGACTGCCCCTACATGACCAGAATCACCGACTGGGTGTCCTACGCAGGTGTCTTCAACTGGACCATGACGTACAGAAACGACTCGGACGTCTACATGCCCTGGGGTCACATCACTTCAATTTACGCAGAGATCGCTAGAAAACCAGATACTTTGGGCAGGCATTACCCAAAACAAGAGGGGAAGCTGGTCATATGGTATGTCAGCAACTGCTACAAACACCTGTCCCGGTTTGCTTATGCCAATGAACTGATGAAATACATCAAAGTTGACGTGTTTGGGGCTTGTGGAAGGGAATACTGCCGGTATTCGACAAAGGACCAAAATTGTTTTGCGAACCACCTACGCCAGTACAAATTCTACTTGGCATTTGAAAACTTCAAATGCATAGAATATATCACAGAAAAGTTCTGGAAAAACGGTCTCAGTTATGATTCTGTACCGGTTGTTCTAGGTGCACCGAGGAGTGATTATGAGCGATTTGCTCCGTCAAACTCTTTTATTCACATAGACGATTTCAAAAACCCCAGAGCCTTGGCAAGCTACTTGATGTATCTAGACAAGAACGAGGACAAGTACATGGAGTACTTTGCCTGGAGGAACAACCCTCCAAAGAACCTACCCGACTTTAAAAGTCACTGGTGCGAACTGTGTAAGAAGCTCGTACAAGCGAAACCCAACGAGAGAAAGGTTTATAACGACATCGACAAGTGGTGGTTGGGCGCTAACTACGAGCTCTGTGAACCTCTAGTCATGCTAGATAACTTTAGACACGAATCACTCGCTATACATTATCCCTAATTACACATGTAATTGTATTTGTCATGAAGCTCTGCGCGATTTGTAAAGAGAAAAAATACCTTTGATCCATATAATTTTTCTAAGATGCGTACATCATACTAGTAGTATGTAGGGTCCACAGATTTCAAGTAAAATACTGATAAACGGATAATGTACTTGACAATGTAGAAAGTTTATTTATGATTGCTACTTATTAGGCCACGGTTGCTACTATGATGTTAACGCTTTCCATGTAGTTAGAAAAGTGAAGAGAGGTAGAGGTAGAAGTTGCTGCTACAGTGGTGGGGCTCTTCTGTATATAGTGATGGTTATTTCATAAAATAAACTTTTACTTTACATTTCCATGATTTTGGTCTGTTGATTGTCGTACTAGTCAGTTGACTCCAGCCTATGCGTAGTCTGATAGTGTGTATGTTGTTCGGTCTAAAGCCGAGAGTACGGTACTCTCCAACAAGGGCTTTATTTATGGGGTGTTTTATGTGCCGGTATCGGGATTTCATTTTTGTACTTGTATCTTTTTTTTTGGCATATTGGATACTGCCTGGCCAATTTGACACTTTCTTTCCAATTTGATACTGTACTGAAGCCACCAAATTCTGCTCGGAGATTTAATTATCTATCTGCCGGAGGTCTGTTGGCTTGGCCCCTCCCCTCTCCTAGCAAATCGTCTGTACATTGTGTCTGTACGTTGTCTGTACCAGGTTGGTTTGTTTCGAGGAGCCGGATTGGTGGGTTTTGATTTGTCTGTGCCAGGTTCCTTTTCCTCTTCTGGCTTTTCTACAAGTCATTGAGAAGGAAAAGTCCTGAGCGGAGCGCCTGGTTGTTTGTTATCTGTATAAGGACGGTAAGTTCATAATTTTATTACCATACACAGGAGGGCCTGCGTGCCTTTTTTTCGCGCACGGTGTAATCCTGACCTTTGAAGTCTTCGTAATCCGTAGGCAGTCACCCCAACGTAATTCGTAATCAGTACATAAGCGCTAACACGTAATTAGTCGTTTCATTTTACGTAAAACGTATGCAGTTACCTTTCTGCAACGTAAAACATAATCCATAAAGTACTCCATGATGGAGGTGGAAGTTCTACCCCCGTAACGTAATTCGTCATCGGCGGTGAACAATCAGTTAACATACACCCACCCAAATGCTGGCCCTCACTTACGCTGAGGTCACATTTCCAAACCGGGGCCCGGCCGGGCTGCTTCGATTAACGAAAAATCAACAATTTTTATAAAGATATATGCAAATAGTTCCATTGTTATTTCTTTTCAACTTTTTGTGCTTCGTTGTTTTTTATACCATATTTTTCGTTCCATAAGACTGCCCGGCCGGGCCCTGGTTTGGAAATGTGACCTCAGCATTAGTGTTAGAGAAGAAATGTTGTCTTTTCGGTTTTCCAACCGACCGTAACAATAAAAACACCGCACCTTTTTGTGGGTCGATGGCTAGCAATGGCGTTAAATTTTCTATCTGACATCGGAATATGAAGCCCTCTGCAATGTTGTTTCAAGCATTTTGCGAGCAAAATTTCATTGAGTTCATCCGGGGTGAAAAATTTGTCCCTTCCCCACAAGCAAGCCCTGGTCCTGATGTATTAGGGATCATTAGGGCCAGGTCAGCTTTTGTTGCCTCCGGCTAAGGAGCTTTCTCTGTACTGCCACGCCGATTCGATTTTCATGAAGGATGGTATCTGTATGCTCGAGATCAACAGTTCGCCAGCTTAAAAAAAAACAAAAGCAAAGGAAAGTTATTCAGATTGTTACATCGTCTTCTGATACCGTACAACATCAACGAAGGTAACTCCTTAAAAACAACAAATGTAGAAGTTATTTTGCTACCCAGTCTTCTGAAACAAGACAACCTACTTAATCTCTAAGCAGATGTTGTGAAGATCGTGTTTTTTTTCTGAGTGACGGCCGGGCTTCTCTGACATTACGATCTTTCACCCAAACATCTGCTTGGAGACCCCGTTCGATTTCTCATTAAAAGTTATGCGCATATCCCATTTTATTACGACGAGATTCGCGAATTCTCCTTATATTACAAACACGGCCTCACGTTATATTAACTAAATCTATGGTTTCTTGTTTCAGGCATCAATCCTTGGTCAAGAGTCGTCATCTATCCCGTGCAAGTACGCGTATAGGACGAACCACTATCCTGACTTGAACTATACAATCATACTAGTAACTGTTCCCGTCCGGCACGCATACTGAAAGGACATCTCTACCGTTTTGTGTCGCCTGAAAGACTTACGACGGCAATACGAGTATGGAGACTAGAAGAAAGGCAGTAAACGCTACCCCGGCACCAAACACGAACTTTCTGAAAAAGACGGGAACACTTGTGGTTCTGTTATTGATCCTGACTGTGTTGTGTGCGTACATAGCGTATACCGGATTTGACGTTTCAAGTGTAGTTAAACACTCCGTTTCCCCACATCGTCCCGCTTACGGAAAGAAAAGCAAAGATAAGCGCCATCGTCATGAAAAAGCGCCCGTCATCGAGCGTTCATTGCTCCCCAGGTACAGCCACCTCATTTCTGCTGACGACAATCCCTTGTCACAGTACTACACCGTCTGGAACGAAGAAACACCACAGTCAGTACTTAAGGCACGAGGAGACCGGAGGAAGATTCTTGTGTGGGAGCAGTGGCGCACATTGGCGGTGCTGCCGAGACAAGCCTGTCCCTCCATGCCCCAGTGTGAATTCACCCTAGACCGCGGACAGATCGCGGAAGCAGACGGCGTCGTCTTCTGGTTCAGGCTATTGCCGTTGGTCTACGACAGGTCCTACTTCCCAACAGTGCGTCCCGCTCACCAGCACTGGATCATGCGTAGCGGTGACTGTCCCTACCTGACCAGAGCCATCGACTGGGTTTCCTACGCGGGTGTCTTCAACTGGACAATGACATACCGTAACGACTCGGACGTCTACATACCCTATGGTACCGTTAAAACAGTTTTCGACGACATGGCCAGAAGACCAGATACTGTAGGCAGACTGTACCCCAAACAAAAAGGGAAACTTATCATATGGTATGTGAGCAATTGCTACAAACACCTGTCCCGGTTTGCTTATGCCAATGAACTGATGAAATACATCAAAGTTGACGTGTTTGGGGCCTGTGGAAGGGAATACTGCGGGTATAAGGCAAAGGACCAAAATTGTTTTTCGAACCACCTACGCCAGTACAAATTCTACTTGGCATTTGAAAACTTCCAATGCATATACTACATTACAGAAAAGTTCTGGAAAAACGCCTTCCAGCATGGTCTGGTACCGGTTGTTCTAGGTGCACCAAAGGGTGATTATGTGAGAGTTGCTCCATCTAATTCTTTTATTCACATAGACGATTTCAAAAACCCCAGAGCCTTGGCAAGCTACTTGATGTACCTAGACAAGAACGAGGACAAGTACATGGAGTACTTTGCCTGGAGGAACAACCCTCCAAAGAACCTACCCGACTATGAAAGTCACTGGTGCGAAACGTGTAAGATGCTCGTACAAGCGAAGCCCATGGAGAGAAAGGTTTATAACGACATCGACAAGTGGTGGAGGGGGCCTAACTACGAGTTCTGTGAACCTATGATCGTGTATAATAGCATAAGTAACATGAAGAACGAATCATTTTCGATGCATTATACCTAATTGTAAGTTCTCACGAAGCTCGATCTGCACGATTTGGAAAGAGAGAGAAAAAACTAACTACACGTATTTGATGCATCTAAATCTACCATACAGGCATCACAGTTAGAAGGGTTCATAAAGTCATGTTAAGGTTTAAAATGTTGGTGAATTGAAACCAGAATGTGCATTATTTTGCTGAGAAGAAACTTCTTTTGATTACTAGTATTGGGCCATGGTTGCTACCTTATGTTAAGGTTTGATTTTTAGCTAGCCAGATATATAGTTATTATTAGGATTCTGGTGGCTGAATGTACTTAATTGTAAGTGGAAACAAAGCTTTATATGCTTAACTGTTTTGTAGATCTTGCATCTGTATCAGTATAGCCATGATAACATAAAGTGATATTTTACCTTTTTTTATATTCCAACATGTAATGACAAGACGTGGTGACAGCACACTCAAGTCCTCTCGACTTATTTTTGTACCATGCACCAGTATTTTACTGCTAGTCTTAGATACAATAGCATGATTTGCATTTATCCAATGACGTCTGGTCAAAGTCGTTCATTTGTTCGGATCAGAAGAAGAGGAAGAAGAAACAGAGAATATAGAATGTGTGTCAACCTTCTACGAAGTTAAACATTACTAAGAATTTGTAAATAATAGATGACCCTAGCTTATTCAAAGCATCCTGATTGCGATGTCCATTGAGAGAATCGGGGATTCTGCAGAATTGCAATCTCTACGCCGACATACATGTATATGTATTTTGCCATCATTACTGGACAAGCTGTGACTACCTGGTGTGTTAAGCTGGTGTGATACACTGAAGGGCGTATGTACATTAGATATTGCCATGTACTAAATAAAAACAACATACAAAGATACATACAGGCACTCTTGCCTCATTTTTTGTATAGTGAAATAACATTCAGTGAAAATTCCCAAGTCTTTGAATTAGTGAAGTAACTTTATTTCTGTGAGGCATGGTAAAGAACAACAGAACAGTAAGACTTGATGTTCAATCAAGCTCAAATTAAACTGTTCAGGTGGCTTACAGGTGTGTTCTACACAGTGCAGTTAAGATGACACCACCTCCACAGCTAGGGCAAAGACACAGAATTTTTCTATGAAACACTTGGTTGGACTCAGGGGTATCTAGCCTGTACACTATATATGAAAATGACTTGCTATTACAGTGGAATTAACACTTCCAGCGAATGGTTCTCTCTAAAACAATAAAGACTGCGTTTCAAGAGTTGCAGTGTGTTTGAAAACTCGGATCAAACTCGCCTCAAAAGACACCAACAACTATCATGAATCAACGTCGCTCCAGACCTATACCTGACCATTATAGACTCAAGTTTGGACTTGTCATACAAAGAGCTGATTCAGTACAAACTCATGATGTTCAAGTATTCTTCCCAAGTTGATTGCAAATACAAACAGCACTGTTTGATTGTAAAAGGTACAAACTCTATGTACAAAGACTACAGCACTTGATTATACAAGTACTCATTACCAAAAAAAAATGATCTTAACAGAAAATGTTTTTGACACAAAAAAACATTGTCTACATAGGGAGAGGGCATTCACAACATTATAACCTTCAGCCTGCTAAGGTAGCCATTTGGCATCAAATGTGTATTGGTTATGGGGGTAGGCAGCAGGAGACAGGTTAATGTAGGAGTTTCATTTCCCCCTCAATGATTTATATCTGAGATAGAATTCAGGCCAGAAAAAGAAAATAATTTGACTCTTCTGAATGGCCCTGTGCAAAATAGAGAGCTACATGTAGTCTTCTCAATGACCCCGTGCAAAATAAAGGGCTACAACGGTAAAAACCTTAAGTGCTTGAAATGCTCTTTTTGCATTAAAAAAAGGTTCAACAGACATAACCTAACACAGCTCAAGATGTTCAGTCAAGTGCAGCTCAACACTTTTGTCCACATATTAGGATTACATGTACCATGAAGGTGTTCAAAAGTTCATGAAACAGAAACATTCCCTAGCCACTAGCTCTACTAAACATAAAAACTAACACTGTTCAACCCTTCGCATCATTGACACTATCATCTAAACTACTGCTTCAACAAAATAAAGTTGTTACTGCCTCAATAGATGATCATTCTACTTTATGAAATGGCATGACTTGAGCAGTGAAACCTGTAGCAATTTTATCTCCTTTCTGCATCAAGGGCTGAGTGAACATGTCCGGAACTTTACAAACTAATGAAAAGTCAACAACTTTGCGGTAACAACATCAGTGCTTCATTACTCTTACCTCAATTACATGGAACATTTCTGATTACGGTAATACCGAATATCTCAATACTGTACATCAGTTGCAATTAGTAAGGTTTTCGAATCCGTGTATAATACTTGTAAGTTCAACAACTTCTAGGCTACCTATGTACAGCCATTTAGTCCTGGGTAGTCTGATACATGTACATTGTTTTTCTTCTCTTTTCTTCAGTGTAAGATAGGAAAAAAGTCTCGTATTGCCTCAATATGCCTCCTCCTCAAATATCTGGAAATGTTTGCAGTATGTTGGGCTCTAGAAATGTGTTGCTGTGTGATCTTGTGTAGCGTACGGGTACACCACTTGTTAGGGACTGGCTAGCTAAGGAAACAAGTCTAGCTATTTGGACCTTGCTTCTGTAGAGCTCTGTAACACAGGTGGTAGCGAGGGGGGAGCCAG